CNCCGCACTTTCCCCTCTCTCCTGCCCCTTGTTCTTGGAAAACTTTAGGCGAAAGTTTTGATCGGCTGGCATTAGCAAGCATTTGGGCTGTGTGCCTTTTCCAATGATTGAAACAGTTTGTTTTCTTGCATTGGTCGTACAGTGCAAATTGCCCACACATTGCTAGTTGTTGCAACAGTAAAGTATAAGCAATTGACGAAGTGTAAGGAGAATATCAGTATGGAGAATTAAGCATCTAAATTTGTGATTACAGTCGAGGTGAGCCGTTAGTCCCCCCCCATTTAAACTGGGCAGGTTGCAGGTTGTCTGCCGTCACCAGCATGTCGTTGGCAGTGTGCACCGCACTGTTGCCTCCACCACCGCCGCTGCCGTCGGGCATGTTAGACTTAGCGCTGTCAGCGCTACCACCCGAGCAGCGGTGGACTTCCCGACTCTCCGCCGCCGCCACTGCTGCTGCTGTCGGGTTGGCAGGCCGTCACTGACCGGGTCTGCGGCATGTGCAGGGACAGCCGTTGACTGCGGGTGTTGCGATGGAAGGGGTGTTGTTGGGGTCGCCGGGGTTGGGGTAGCCGCTGGAGTCGGCAGCATGGCGGGCGGTGTAGAGCCGCCGATAGTGTCCCTGCTGCCGGGGCAGTGGGGGCTAGTGCCGAAGAGGATGCCCGCCTGTTGTGAACCGGGCCGTGGCAGTCGTCATCGAAGGTGACGTCGCTGCTCACGGTCACCTTGCCCTCGACGAGGACGCGGTGGGTGGCCATGCCGTGCTCCGGTCAGCGGTAGGTTCCTGCCTTTGAACGAGGACTGAGTTTGTCCTGCTGGTTGGCTGGGATGCGGATGTAGGCCAGGCAGCCGAAGGTGTAGAGGTGGCTGACGTCGGGGGGGATGCCGTGATAAGCTTCCCTCGGTGTGGCCTCCTGGCCCTGAGAGGGAGCCACATTGCGCAGGAGGTTGGTGTAGAGTGCAGCCTCCAGCCAGTAGCTGACCGGGAGTGCTGTGTCATGCAGCATCACCCGCACACGGTCGAAGAGTGTGTGGTTGAGTCGCTCCACCGCTCCGTTCTGCTCTGGGGTGTACGGCGCTGAGTGGGTGTGTGCGGTGCCATGCTGGCGCAGCCACTGCTCCAGTTGCTTGGCGACGTACTCACCACCGTTGTCGCTGTGCAGCGTGTGCACCCGTGCGTGGTTCAGGTGGCGGGCCTCCAGCTGTGTCACCATGTCCTGCAGCACTTTGCCCATTGGCTCTTGCTGGCCAGCATGCGGACGGCGGACAGACCGGTGGCACCATCCAGCAGCGTCAGCAAGTAGCGTGCGCCCCCTCGCCCCATGGTCGGCATGGGCCCGCACAGGTCAGAGTGTACGACCTCCAGTGCGTGCTACGGCCGGTTGCCGCGGCTGGGGTGGGCGGTTGCGGTGGCCTTCACGGTGACACAGGCCTCACAGACGGCCTCCTCCGCTTGCTGATCAGCTGCTTCAGCACATGGTAACTGAGGTGACCGTACTGGCAGTGCAGGCGCTGTGCTGCCACAAGTTCGGCGACTGAGCATTCAGTGGCCCCGGGGCTGCTGTTGCCTGGTTGCCCTTTGCCGTTGCTGTCGCCGTTCGGTTGGCCTCCACCGGTGTGGCTGCCGGCGGTGCTGCCGCCACGGGTGCTGGTGATGGTGGCGGCACTTCCGCCAGCGCTGCTACCTGCGGCCTGGCCCCCGCCCGCTCTGTCACCCGTGGTGCTGAGGACATTGACGGTGATGTCGGTCGGCGCCTGCAGGTCCACGTCCATGCATAGTGCCCACGCTCACTCCATGCGGTTATAGACGGGCTGTTGTGCAGGAGGCTGATGCATGAGAACCAGCAGCCCGTCTTGTCCATGCTGAACGTGACCGAGTAGCCGCGTGTCATGAGGTCTGTCGACCTCTCACGAGGTCGACAGACGTCAGGGTGAGGCCCGAGCTGGGGACGTGCAGCATGTTGTACAGCCAGACATTGTGTCCATCACGAGTATGCAGGTGCAGCTGCCCTGTTCCCACGACATGTTGCCCCACCCGATTAGCCGTGGCATGCCGGCGGGGACATGGTTGTGCAGCAGGGAGTGGTCACCCGTGAGGTGGTATGGTGAGCCTGAGTCGAGGGTGACTCGTGAGCTGCTTCCACTGTGGTCGATGACCAGCACTGGGGCACGGCTCTGGTGTGAGCTGCTTCTGCTGCTGCCCGAGCCGCTGCCACTGCTGCCGCCTGCAGTGTCGCCGCGGTGGCTGTTGCCGCATCGAGCACGGCCACATTCACGTGCTCTGTCGGCCCTGCTGTTACTGCCATTGCCGCTGCCAGTGCCCCTGCCGCCACCGTCACGGTGGCGGTTGCAGCTGCCTCAACTGATGTTGCCGGCGGCGTGCAGCTGCTCGAATGTGTTGCTGCAGTGAAGGCCGACGGACTCGTCTGCCTGCTTAACAGGACACTCGTGAACGTAGTGACCAGGCTGTCCGCAGTAGTGACAGGTGTCGCCGGCCCGTACGGTGCCTGCAGCACCGGCGGCGCTGCCGATTCCACTGGCAGCACGGCCAGGGCCGACAGCTCCCACCAGGCTTGTCTTGCTTGCTTGCTTGGGTCTTAAGGTTGTTCTCCTTCTCACGCAGCATGAGCACGAGCTGTGGGGTCGTTAAGTTGGGCTGATACATCGTGAACTCGATGGTGATGGTGCACTGCGGAGGCAGGCCATGGAGAATGGCGTGGTGCTCTCGTCCCACTGGCCGCCAGCCACGATTATATTGCTACGGAGCTGCTCTGCCTGCTGAACGAAGTCAGTGGTCGTCTTCCCATCGCGCATGCTCAGCTGCTTCTGCGGCTCCAACAGGCTCAGCCGGGCCTGGGATGCAGAACGCAACTGTTGCTGTAAGAGCTGCATGGCGGCGAGAGTGGTCTGGCGATTCCTGAGCAACTGCTTGATGGGCAGTTCACAGGACAGATGCAGGTAGCCGAGCGCCTGTGCGTCCTCCTCCAGGGCGTCTTGGGTGTTGCGGCCCGGAGGCGACGGGTGTTGATGTAGTCTTCAACTTGGGTGTTGCAAGGAAATCGCCTAAGACGCCGAGCCACTGGGAGTAGTTCGACCCATCCGAGAGGAGGACACCCTTACATCCCTTCCCCATGATGGTTGCCTAGCGAGCATGACTGATCAAGCCGTGTTCCCCCCCGCCTTTCTGGCAACTAGTTGATGGTATGATGCATCGTTGTTGCGGCGTACGATGGCTCCTGATGCGATTTATGCCCTTTCAGCCTCCCAGGCATGTCCCCACTTGCCTCACAGCCACCGACACATCTCATGGCAGGGGTTTAATTGTGTGCGTGTTGGATGCAGCGTTTCCCGCCTCATTTCGGCAAATAGTTGATGGCATCATACATCGTTGGCACGGTGTAAGACAGTGCCTGATGCGATTTATGCGTCCGGAAGCCCTTTCAGCCTCGCAGGCATGTCCCCACAACTGCCTCACAGCCAGTGGGGGTCTAATTGCGTGCGTGTTCGCATGCGGCATATGTCCCGCCGCCTTTCTGGCATCTATTGATGGTATGATGAATCGTTGTGCGATGTAAGGCTGCACCTGATGCGATCTCGTTTGCGGAAGGGCCCCCTGAGTGCTGCCAAGCATGTTATATTCTTATGAGACTGCGTGAAGGTTAACGAACTGAGTATGCGACCAACACATAAAACATCGCATGTGAATTGTTATGTCATGCGATTAATCAAAGTAAATCGTGTGTGTTTGGTGTGTGTTTGGTGTGTGTTTGGTGTGTTAGGCCGCAGTAAACTTGACGCAATCAGCCTTCATACGCATGAAACGCAACATGTATTCGCATGTGAATAGCCTTGCGGACTGTATGCGTTTGATGTGCGATTGGACGCGTATTGCTTTACGCATTGTCTCCCCACACGCACGAATCGCAATATGGAATCGCATGCGTATCGCCTTGCTACACATGCGCGTATGCTTCGCGTTTCAACATAAGCACGGATGAATTGCTCAAGTCGACCAAAACGACGCAAGTTTATTTCCAAATGAACCTTTACAATCTGAAAATTATAAAATTTAAAAATTTTAGCCAGTAGGGCCGATTTCCGCTTTTTCATAGCCGTTGTGCGTTAGCTCTTTGCGTTACAAAAACATGCTCATTCGCACCTAACGCTAAGATTCGCACCGTTACGCGAACTAACGCGAACTAACGCGGACTTAAGGCGATCACCCGTCGTCATAGTGTGTCGTGGCCATGGCGAGCAGGACCACAATGCTGAACGTCAGCGATTGTACCGACAATGACAACATTTACTAGCTTTATATTCACTAGCAGTCCAAGGCTTTAATGAATGTATTGACTCAAGGATCAGTCTATCA